GTTCAACGGATGAATATGACCATTTTAAAGTGGTAAGGTGCATGTTATCGGGAACTTAGTTATCCAAGTGTTTGTGGGGTTTATCTATTGCCACTTCAACATATTATATCAACATATTTCTATCCTTGTGATTATGGTTAAGACACCTATAGAGGTTTGGCGTGGAAAATTGGTAGACTTCTATAATTTAAAGGTATTTAGAGCTTTGTGATTTGTGCATATCAAGCAAGACAAGCTTGATGCTAGGGTTGTGAAATGTGTATTTTTATTGATTTTCCAGAAGGTGTGAAGAGATCCAAGTCCTGGAATATATAACATGGAGAATTAAAGTTTATTATAAACAAAGATGTTACTTTTTATGAGATCTATATTGGGATGAAGTACAAACCTTAGAATTTAAAAACACTCGGAAAAAAAGGTGGGGGAGATTTAGCTTGAGGTGTACAGGCTTATACTAGTGAAACTAGAGACGAGGAAGATGTTGAGGCTTCCACTTATATTTATAAGGAATGGAAACCTATAGTGAATTCAAACTATCAATTGGGTAGTGATAGAGTTAGTGGGACATTATACAACTTTGAAAAAATGATTATGTTGATCTTATTTTCCATGCTTTAAATGTGGCTAAACATGTAAAGACCCATAGAGACTTTTTATTAGGTATTTGAAATTAAAGAGAGTCATAAATGGTTGTAGATTGTGAATGATGAAATCCGTTCACTGAAGAAGAACCGCACTTGGAAATTTATGAAACTACTTAAGAAATAAAATATTGATGTATAGAAGTGGATCTTTAATAAGTAATGTATTTTGGATATTTAAGAACGAAGGTATAAAACAATAATTATGGTAAAGGATTTGACTTAGAGGTATAAGATTGACTACAATGAAAATTTTCACCTCTAATGAATAATTTTTCTATAAAAGCCTTTATGGATATTGTGAATCAATATAATATTGAGTTGTGGAAAATGAATTCCAATAATGCTTTCTAACATATAGACTTTGAAGTGACAATCGACATATATAAATCAAAGGGTTTTGTTTGTATAGGACAAGTTTGAGGTGTTTCTTTTTAGGAAATACTTGTATGGGTTATACAAACCCACGAGGAATTGTATCTTCGGTTTGATGAATTTCTTATAATGAATAACAGTGTGAGAAATGATTTTGAAAATTTTGTCATTATATATGAGGAAAAATGAAGTCATTATATATTCACTTCTATATGTTGATGATATCTTGATGGAAAAATTTAACATGGAATATATTAGTAAGCTCAATGATATTTTGAATCAAGAATTTGAGATGAAAGATCTTGGCAAGGCTAATAGGATTCTAGGTATGGATATCATGAGAAAGTGTGAAATATATGAATTATTTTTATCTCAATCTAGTTACAAAAAGAAAATAATAGAGTGATTTAGAATGATTGATGTTAAAACCTTCAACACTCATTTGGGTTATAACGCTAAGCTTTTTCTTGTGAAAAATCCTCAAATCAAAGATAAGAGGAAGACAATGGAGATTAATCCTTATACAACTGATGTTATACATATTATGTATGAGATTATTTGTAGTAGACCTAACTTAGAATATTCTCTTAGAATAGTAAGTTGGTTATGGAAAATTAGGGTCAAATACAATGGGATGCTTTTAAATGAGTGTTGAGAATTTTTAATGGATCCTTGAATGATGGTTATAAGTATACAACATCTAAAGATAAATACACTTTGGAGAGATATGTGGATATGAATTATGCTATGGATAAGGAAACTAGACAATCCTTACCAAATAACAAGCAATAAAAACAACATAACTCCAAAACTTAAAAGGTGTGTGGGTATTGATCAATAAGGTTTGAGCTGTATTGACTAAATAAAGATTTTTTCTTTCAGCAACACCATTTATTTGTGGTGTATGGGGACAAATAGAATGATGTATAATACCATGAGAATCCATAAAAGGCTTCAATGGTACAAAAATATATTCTTTTGCATTGTCACTCGACAAAATTATAATTACTTTTACAAATTGAATATTTACTTGTGAACAAAAGATCTAAAAGGTATCAAATAATTGTGAAAAATATTTCTATACAGCGATCCAAGTACTAGATGAGTCATCAATTAAAGTGACAAAATATTTTTATCCCAAGATAGACGGTACCTAACTCGGGCCCTAAACACTAGAATGAATAATATCAAAAAGACAATTGGATCTTTTATCATAACTCTTGGGAAAGATACCCTGACATGTTTTTCAAGTCGACATGACTCATAATCTAGTGACTTTAGATGTGAAGTTTGAGGAGCTAACACCTTTAATTTATCTAAACTAGTTAACACAAGTGATGGATAATGATATCTAGAGATGTAGAATGATGATGAAAATAATATAGAAATTATGATTGATATCCTGTTCAAATCATATTTTCTGTATTATGATCTTGTAAAGAGAAAAACTCAGAAGAAATTATTATGGAACAATTGAGTGACATATGAAGTTTACTGATTAAGAGAATGTTATGTTAGGATTACAATGATACCTTCTTGTCAACTGTAAAATGACATATATTCACCTCTTTATAGCTATTATTGGCATGAAATGTTGGCTCTTATTTTAGTTGGAGATCAAGAATGATTTCTTACATCGCGGCTTGGAAGAAGATATTTACAGGGAGTAACCTCTCCGGTTTGTTGCTTAGGGACGTGTAGTTTGGTATAAAAATTGGAAAAGTATTTATATGGCCGGAAACAATCACCTAAGGCATAGCTTGGTCGATTCAATTTTTTTACAACAATTTGAAATGATTGTTGTGAATTAGATCATTTTGTCTTTCTTAAATTCTTATCCCACACACATGTGAATTACATGTGGATTATGTTGATTATATATATATAATGATTATTTATGTATCAAAGAATTAAAATTTTAAAAGTTTTAGATCAAGAGCTTGGATCCACTATGTTACTTTCTTGGAATTGAGGTGAATCAACCGAAATTTGGTATTATTGTCTCTCAAAGTAAATGTGTGTTTGATAGTTAAGAGGAAACATTCTTATAGATTTTAAACCAATAAACATTCCTATAGATTCTAATATAAAGTTCTTTCTTGAATTTGGGAAACCTTATTCTCATATAGGTAGATACATAAGATCAATAGAAAAATGGATTTAACTCATCCTAACTATATCACAGATATATTTTTCAATTAGCATCATAATTTAGATTCTTAACTATCCATATCACAATCATTGAAAGTTGTTTTTTTTTTAAATCTTAAGTACATCAAAAAAACACCTAAAAAAGAACTTGTTTTCACTAATAGAAGCCACACTAATATCATTAGAATTCAGATGCCGATTGAGAAAGAGATACAGGTGATATCCAGTCTACTTCTAGTTATTGCATTTTTGTGGGTGAAAATATAATTTCATGGAAGAAAAAAAAAGTGTTGTTGTCCGATCAAGTACAATAAACGAGTATCGAACTACAACTCATGCTAACTTTGAGTTTATTTGGTTGAAACCTTTATCATAAGAATTTCATTTTTGTGAGGTTCGTGAATTGGAACTCGTGTGTGATAATCAATCAAAATTACACATATCATCCAATTTAGTTTTTCATAAGATGACAAATGATATAATAGTCGATTGTTATTTAATTAGAGAAAATATTCTCTATGCAGTTATCTGAACCTTATTTTTCAATTATAAGGATCAATTGGTCAATATATTTACTAAATCTCTTCAAAAACTTAAGATAACTTACATATGTGATAAGATGGATGCATATCCTATATATGCTCCACCCAGGCTAAGAGTGTTGAGATATTTATATTTATTACAATTGATTTGATTGTATACTAACAAATTGTATTATGAATGAATTCATATTTAAATTATATCTCTCAAGTATTCAAACAATTATTTTGAATCTTTTCAATCATACAAGAAATACTCATATTCAATAGAAACCTAATCAATGATATGTTGTGATATTATATACAACTCAAGTAGAGTATATTTTCTTTGTTGAAGGGGTCAATAAATGAATTTTGTTAAGAGGTATGATTAGGGAAATAGGAATCACTCAAGAATCTGTGTAGATACATTATGATCATCAACATGTATTTATTTACCTAATCAAATAGTGCACAATGAGAAGGAAAAGTACTTCGACATCTGTTTGCACTTCAATATGATCAAGGTTGAATCAAATGAGATTTGGACTTGATCAATTTTGTTAAAGAAAAATTCAAACTTGGAGAAAGAAATAAAGTGATTGATGGGTAAATTGGTATCACCATCGATTTTAATAGAGATTTGTGAAATGTGCCTTAAAAAATCTCATACTCAATTCAGCATTTCAATTCTCCCATACCCGAGGGACGTAAACAGTCATTTCTTAGCATTTTGCTAATGTTTTTTTTCATGAAGCGGATGAAGATAAACATTAGGTGGGTGAATTTTGCATTGATGACATGTGAGGTGGCTAGAAGGGACATGATGTATGCGTCTTTGTGTCAAATTTAAATCATTTTCTGTCATTTCTCGAAATGGAAATGATTATCTATAGAGATATTTTGAGAGACAAGAGATAGATTTTTATAGATTTCTAATTCTAAAAATGGAAAGACTTTATATGTTATCTAAGATGTATAGAAATTACATAATATTTCCAAGGACTTGTTAAAATATTTTCTTATAACTAATTTGTAATATCTTGATTAAAACTCTAGTTGGTAGTTGATGGAAGAAATGCTTTCTCCTCTAAAGTAAATTAATTTGCATGGAATTAAGTAAAAAGTAATGTGTGTTAACTCTCTACACGTTTAACTTGTTATTCTTAGTATGTGGTTTGCATATATTTAGTTGATAGATTAATTATTACTTGAGATTGTTTAGTATTAATTGTCATTTTTTTTTTCCCACAATACCAAAGAAGATCAAGATTCTATATCCTCCCTTGCAAGCTAACTAGTGTGAAATTTACAATTATCGAGCTTTTGAGCCATTCTTGTTGGTACCACACAAAGGACATAAAGTTAGTGTTGCTGCTGGAATCTGCACATAAAAGGGTGCTTGCATTGACTTCAGTTCTTGTACCTCTTTTTTCAAGTTCTTGTTCTCTTCTGTTAGAGTTTCGCAACACTTCTTTAATACTTCAAAATCTGATTCTGTTTGTTTCACTTTTGTCCTGAACATGTTATTATCAAACAAAAACTAATATAAGCTTTCACAAAAGGTGAGGACCATTATAAGAGAATATTTTAGATTATTTAAGATTGGTTAAATCATAAAATTCAGTTATACTCCACCTAAATTTTAAGAGGTTATTATAACTTATTCTAGAATTTTATAAAGTTAACTTAGTCCCCACAAAATTTTATAAAGTTAACTTACTCTGAATCTAAATTTTATAATATAATAAATAAGTTTTAAGAATAAAATAAAATATTTTAAATAATATTTTTAAATTTTTTTCGTCACATTAAATTTGTTATATTAGTTTAATTTTATTTAAATCATTGTTATGGACATCCCTTTCAAATTATTATTTAATTACTAAAAACTCATACAACCATGAACGTCATAATTTAAATCTTAAAAATAAGAGCGAATTAAGATTTATAAACTATGTATTCATATAATATATATTTATTAATTAATAACACTGAATAATTAATTATAAAAAATTTATAAAATCTTTATATCTTTTCATTCAATAATTTATCAATTTTTTTAAAAGATATTGAAAAAAAATTAAACTACATTTATTTTACCAAAAAAAATAAAAATAGGAGATGTAAATTACCTGGCTCTCCGATTTTGAAACCACACTTCTACTTGTCTAGCTTGTAGTTTCAGCCTTTCTGCTAATGCTTGCTTTTGGTTCTGAAAATATGAGAATTTTTTTAGTTAACACAATAATATTACGATATTCTAAAATTTAATTTGAATATGTTCATTTATTTAATATTATGTTATTTTTTAATAACAATTTAGAAAAAATATTATATAGTTTTTTTGGACAAAATTATATATTAGAACTAAAATCAGAAGAAAAAGAATAATGAAACTAAAAAGATATTTAAAGCAAAGAAATTCTAAGGTACCTGATTAAGAGTAGAATGGTCTCTGAAATTTTGTTCCAACACTTGTGATTGTTGTTTTGTGAGCCTAAGTTTCTTCCTTGAATTACCATATTCATCAACATTTCCAATCCTTGTTAGTGGAACCTTCTCAATCTCTACCTCAAATTCCTCACATGTCTCCTTCTTCATGGTGTTCATGGAGTTCGAAATCGAAGAATCTATACTTGGAGAAGTAAGTGAATTTTGAGTTATAGTAATTTCTTCATCATCATCCTTTGATGGTCCTAATGAAAGATATAGATAATTCTTACTCTCCATTTTCTTATTCTTGTTTTCTCTCTTTTCATAGTCATGAAAGGCTAGACCTAGATCAAGATCAAAACTCATGGTATATAATATAAAATATTTGAGATGGAAAAACCTTGATGAAAAAATATTGAAGTTTGTAAGATGCATATATAGTATAATATGAAAAAGAGAGGATGTGAAATAGGAAATGATTGGAATAGAGAGATTTGTAGAATGGTGTGAATGTGTTAACAAGTAAAGAAAAGATTTATGATTATTAGGATTTAGTGGGGACTAATTGATTTGTTTATTTTTGTTGTTATTAGGAGAGAAGTAAAAGAATAAATAGAATGTAAATGTGGTTAAGTGTTGTGGAACATGTGAAATTTCAATTTCTCCTTTGTTTTTGGTTCATGGGTTGACTAAGTGAAAGTTAATGAGTCATCCCTTTTTTGAGGTAGAACAAGTTGTGCAAAATAACAAAGAATGATGAAGTGTATATGGTATATGGGATACGTGGAATCACGTGAAAAGTGGGTAGCACATATATCTCAACACCTTTTAACCTTTCTCCTTTTCACTTTGCTTCTCATTTTTATTTTCTCTCTTATGGTTTTTTTCTGTCTTTATTTTAATTTTTATTATATGATTAATGTAAAATAACTTAGTCTTTATGCATTTCATGAAAGAAAAAAACCTATAGTTTAAGTGGTCAGTATTTTTTTAACAGGGTGCAGGATATTCTATTTGTATGATGTATTATAAATAGGATATTCTATTTGTATGATGTATTATAAATATATAAAATAAAAGTATCTGGAAAAACTACTTCTATCATTTGATTTTGGATTTAAATTTTTTTGATTTCAGAATTATTAAGGTCTTATTTAATGTTTGCTTCACTTATATTGATTTGACATTACTGATCATATGCCATCCCTATATTTTTTTCTTATTATTTTTAATTTTATTTTATTATTTGTTTAACCTCTAAATAATCTGTCATTGCCTCTTAGACTTCAAAAATAATTTGGAAAAATCAAATACAAATTTTAAGAGAATGAAAAGTCATACATTTTCCTATGGTCACAATTATTATCGAATTGTATTGAAAACTACGTATAATTATCACACATTCTTTCCATTTCTTCCAAATCTAAGCATCAACCGTAAAAGTTTAAACGATTCTTTTCAATACTCATGCGAGAAATGCAGTGGAAGAGAATTGTATCAGGAAGAAGATAACGAAGTGCATCATCGGTTACCATTTTTTCTCTGCTCTCCTTGCTTTAGTTATATGATGCTTATTTGTTTCATGTTGTTGAGTCTATAGTTAACCTTGTGTTACTGAGGCGCTGCCACCCTCATTCTCTTTAGAAACCAAGCCGAAACGCAACAGACTCGCCGTCACAAAGATCCAAACGTGAACTATCGATTCAGATTTTGTCGTTCTTGATCATCAGGTAGGACGAGCATTTTTGCGGAAAACTGGATTTCATTCTAAATACATACTCATAATTGATTTGAAAATGTTTTTATCATTATGTTTAGCCTTGCATCAGATTCATGGATGTGATTGATGCTGCTGGTGGACGACATTTCAGTGAAGGTGTTTTCATTTTTTGTTAATTCTTGAAAATCTAAATATAAGTTTTAGGGTTTGTTTGATTAAGAATATAAGTAAGTGGTTTTGTTGAGTTTGATTAAATGCTTATTTATAAACTATTTTGAAGAGAAATAAGCTGATAAGAATGTATGAACATCTTATAAGTTATTTTTATGGCATCCAAACACTTTTACAAAGGTTTTGTTACGGTAGATTTGCAAAAATGAAGATTAATTTGATGTTAGCTGAATCAATTTCCTTTTTCTAATGTGCAGGAGTTGTAGGTATTCTTGGATTAATATACTTCCAAACTTGATTTTAAGATATAGAAAGAGGTGGAAGTTTATAAGACTACACTCAGGCAAGGCTTCCTAAACTAGACTACTGTTTATATTAGATTTAATGTCACATATCTTAGCGTTTAGATTTGGATTTGGTGCATTATCTGCATCATATAGATTTCAATCTCAACCATCTGATTTCAAATTAACAGTCGAGATCAAGCATTATACTGATAGGTTATTTTCTTCTATATGTTTATTCTTTTTCTGGTTTCTGACCGTGGTGGTCGTTCATTTTTTAATCTGGATTGTTTAAGTGTTTATAACTTTGTTTCATGCAGGATTTATTGATTATTTATAACGTGGAATATTTGCATGTTTGGTATACTCGTCTGCTTGAGACGTTTTATTTTGATTAGGAGTTCGGGGGATGTGCTCGTTGGTTTTTTGAGTTCGCCAGTGTGGGGGGACTGGTCAAACGGCCAGGGTTGTTTCTGGGTATGTGACGAAACTCATGCTTGTTTTGAGGGTCTGAGCTCGGTGGCATGAACTTGCCATCGCGAGCTAGGTGTTCTGCCATCATGGTACAATGACGGTGGAGCTCATTTGAGTTTTCCACGTCGGGATAAGAATCTGCGCGTCAAAAGAGTGAGGACTTGCCTCTTATTTTAATTTTGAGTGCCATGCTTGTACCTAGGCACATACATGTGGTCGGGAAAAGATGTGTCAGTTATCTCGACGAGACACACCGTCTATATCAATGTCTTAACTGTAATATTACCTTAGTTTTTCAGTGTTCCAAGGTCAATCAAGTTGTTCCCCGTTTAAGTTTTCTAAGAAATAGGCACCGGTCCCTGTTTTGCATGGACGCGGTATGGGCCTTCCCAGTTTGCGGCGAGTTTGACCTTGCGGGACTCCTTGTGATTTCTCTTAAGGACTACACTGCCGACTTTGAAGTCTCACTGTATGAATTTGGCGTCGTATCTTATGGCGATTCATTGTTTGAGGGAGGCTTCTCGCAAAGCTTCCCTCGTTCGGATCTCCTCGACAAGATCGAGCTCTTCACTAAGTGTGACGTCGTTCATCTCTTCATCGAGCGGAGCTTTAGTTCATCCAGAGGGTTCCTGTTGCAGCGATATGGCGGCAAGCAAAAAGTAAAGTATTTAATTTTACCAGGTGATATTTAGGTTACATCGTATCATGTCCATAGAGATTGGTTATCAAATTTACTTTCGACAAATCATTCGTTAATGGGTTTGGGGATAAATGGGTTGAAAAGAAAAGTATCAACAGAAAATAAATATAAACAAAAGGAAAAAACTAAGGAAGAACTTATCAAACCTGCATATAATCTACTCACCACAGACTTAAAACTACTGTCCAGTTACATTCAACCTAACAATACTCATCAATGTCACTATGTACCACTCACAACCTAAGTCATTTCTAACCCAAATCGAGAGATCGACTGTATCACCAAGGAAATGATCTCTCCACCTCCTCAACAACACAAAAGATAACTATGTAATCGCACTGACGATCTCTCAGCACAACACAACCACATAGAGGCATTAAGCTCTGATACCCAAGTAGATGTCAGCTCTAAATCTATCTCTAGAGTTCAGAAACTAACAAATAATCATCCTAGATAAGAATCTAAGCAGTATATGTCTATAACAACTTAAATCCCTAGCACTGAGCAAAAATCCAGGACAACAATTAACAAATATTTGTAAAGCAAGCTTTATGTAATGCCATGGGCGACAAATATACATAAGTTCAAAGTAAAATACATACAAAACCCAACTAAAGAGAAATCCATAGAGAGGAGAAGAGATAAACCATAAATCTTTCAGTTTGTCAGCTCTGGTCAATGAGAAATCCACCTCAAATCATCCATAAGCAAAACCTTAGTGTTGTTATCTAAGATAATCCACTACAAAAATGAGGTTGATGGAATTGGGAGAACAAAAATCACCCCCAAAACCATCAACCTCCAAATGAAATGAAAAGGAAAATATAGCAAAATTCTGATCCGCGCGCATCACCCAACGACATAGAAGCATCGCCCGGTTATGGATTTTATATACTTGGACCATACTGCGCCATGCATGCAATTGGGGAAAATATCTTTCTCTCGCCCGACGACAGATACACATCGCCCGATGACACTAGGAAGAAAAAACAAGGAAATTTTGCCTACAAATTTCGCTGGACGACAGGAACTTTCGCCCGACGATCCATGACAGTCCAACAACTTCTGTTGCTTTCATGCATAACTTCCAATGGCTCAAATATTTCGCCTTATTCCTTTATTGATCCAAAAATGCATCTTTGAGCTTTATTCCTCTTGCTCCACAAATGCTAAAATACATATAAAACATATACAAAACTTAGTCAAACGATACAATATGTACACAAAATGAAACTAAACGTATTTACAACAATAAGCGGGGTTATTCAATTGATATTAACAACAAAGAGTTGATAACTGCAACAAAAAGTATATACAAAAATAAATACAATTTGCACTTATCAGTTCTCCTATTTCTATGGGGATGACAACCTCGGTTATGTATGCTAGTCGAAAAGGAGTCTCCCCGGTTGACAAGTAAGTTGTTGTCCGATAGGCCCAGAGTAAGCTGTGTAGCTCCTCGACCCATCTCTTCTTGGTTTCGTCCAACCTTCGTCTGAGGCGCGTAAAGTTATCATGTTCGCATTCTCATCTTTCCCGTTTGTCTGGGGGTATTCGACGGAGGCGAAGTGTTGGGTGGTGCCCAACTTGGCGATGAATTTTTGGAAGTTTTTATCTGTGAATCATGTCCCGTTGTCGGTGACAATCGCTTGTGGAATGTCGAATCGAGCAAGAATGTTCCTTTTGTAAAAACAAAGAATGTTTTGTGCGGTTATTTTGGCTAGTGCTTCTGCTTCTATCCACTTGGTAAAGCAATCCACATCTACTATAAGATATTTGTTTTGGTTGGATCCTACCATGAATGGTCTGAAGATTTATAGGACCCACCATGCAAACGACCATGGGGATGATAGAGACTTGAGCTCTCTTGGAGGCACCAAGTTACATACCCGTGGCGTTGACATTTGTCACACTTTTTTACATGCTCTTTGGCGTCATGCTGCATGGAAGGCCAGTAGTACCCTACCTATAATGCTTTTCTGGCCAGGGATCTTTTGCCTAGGTGTTGGCCGTTGATTCCTTCATGGATTTCTCACATGATATTGGCTACTTTGTTTTCTTCGACACATTTGAGGAGAAGGATGGA